CTATCACGCGAATTCATCTGACGATCGGTATCTTTCAGTCATACTGGTTGTCTCGCATTTATGCAGAAAATTCGCGCTAATGGAGCCTTCACATACATAAAATTGACTTTTCCAGCTAATCTTACGCGGGTTACAGTGGTTTCGTTTAAGTCAGAGAACAGCTAGTTGACCCAAGGTCCGTCAAGGAGAAGATAAAACCTAAGGTAATCAAAATAGTCCCCCAACTTATGCCTGTAATTGGCCACCATGGCCAAGCAAATACCTCCGATCGCAAGACCCAAGATGATGATCATGATTTTGGAAGAATGCATTTTCAAACCCCTGTCCGCCATCCCCACACCTATTTGAGAGACATCATGCAAGTAAGGTATGAAGACCCCTTGTAACACCTTCATGGTCCGTTAGTTAACCCAGATAATACGGAGTGTAATACTGGTGAAATCCCACGGCAACTTATCAATGTTGCCGTCTACCAAGCACTGCTTACGTGCATCGACTGGTCGCATATGCGGGGACTCCGCGCTGTGGCACTGCGCTGATCATAACACTTTTGGTTCGAGAAACCTTAAATTAGTTATTTCGACAGTTGAGCAGTCTGTGGAGAAACAATACTCCAACTAACACCGGATGAGACATCAGAGGTCATTCATGTCGAACATGACGTGGCGTCATCAGATATGATCAACCACAAGAAGCCATGGCAGGGAGAGTCAAATGCACAAAAAGGAAGACCGACGGGTCGATAGAGGTGGTCACGTTGGCGGATCACGAAGTGTTGATCAAAACATCTCATTTCCGCACAAAAGCCACACTAATTTCTTGTTAGTATATTACGGTAAAAGCGAAAGAGACTGAATAAGAAGACAACTGAGGAACGCTAGAAGTATTTCTCAGATTATGATCCGTCAACTGTTTTGCAGGAATGCTTAATAACAACGCTGCAATCCCGGTGATTATTATTTGATTCCGAAGGATGAGCCAGAATGCCATGTCGCAGAGCAAGCAACGCGGTCGAACAGCACTTTTAGACTTCCTCGATAGGTACTTTCTTATTTTGCCGTCTGGCTACAGCATTAAGAAGCTTCAGTATATATAGCAGGTTGCGAGTGTGGTAATAATTACACACTGGGGCATCCTCAAATATTACAGTCGAAGAAGTGAGCGAGCCTGCAGGGCTTAGAAGCTGGACAGATTTTTCTTCAAAGGAAATGTCATGTCCGACGTGGACACTATTACGACGCCTGGCTTTTTTCTGATCACTTCGGAGGATGCTCCTTTTGAAAATCCAACACAGCCCTTTCTTGCCAATTTAACTGAAGCGCGTTTGAAATCTTGGGCTGTTATACTCCAAAAGGCGTTATAGTCATTTCCTGCCGCGCACGTCACCTCACTAGAGACGTCTTTGATAGATAAAACATTCAAATGCAATGGGTTTGGAACACCAACGTGCAGGATTGCGTCGATTGACAAACTTTTTGGGACTAAGCTGCTGCAGCTTAGCGTCACCCAGGAGGTATGCTGAGAGAGCGCTTCGGGTCTAGTCATCGTGCATAGGAACCAATAAGATGTCATAGTTTCAAAAACGCAAATGGGGTCTTTTAATTTTGAAGCCGCTGGATATAACCCCTAAAAACGAAATATCAGAGCGATCAGCATCGCATAAAATAGGTCTTACGAAACGCCACTAGGTAAGGAGATAAGGAGAAAAAATCCGGAAAAGAGGTCGGTTCTTGGGCCGATTGCGCTAAAGGCACACAACATGGAGCA